CGGCTTACGGACTGAGATCAGCGAACCCGCCCAAAGCCGTGAAACCAAAAACAGGTGGATGTGATCCATTAAGGTTTATACCATGTCTCTAAGTCCTACACTACCTCAACCGAAATTTAAAATTGTATATTCTCGTTGTAGGAGGCTTTGGAACTGGTATGATGGCTAGTTACAACAACTGGAATTGATTTGTCGTGATTTGCTCAGCTTCTCATAGCTTTTTTAAGCTGCTATGGATTTCAGACCATTCAACACTGCCTACCGACATGGTCTCCCCACGAGCCATTGCTGGCATGTCCTTTTGTATTCGCTTGTTCATTTTGGTGAGTCCGGATCGATCGTTTCTGCTAACCTCAAGATTATCTCTCGTTGTTAAGTGCCTCACCATAGTGGCGATGATTTTGATTCTGGTAGCACCAGGAGCTTGCTTCTCACGATATCTCAACGGTCAGCCAATCAGTAGAGAGATATGTCCAGGTAATGCATGAGTAATCGATAATTTCTTCAAACCATGTATTTCATAAGTAATTTTTTAAAGTCAGTTGCTCTCAGGTCAAAACAGCATATTTCCGATGAACGCAGATCGTTGGAGTAATGCTTTGCATTTTCAAGGACGAGGAGAAAAGTAAGTGTTCCAGAAAAAAACCGACTTTTGAAATCCTAATCCTCAATTTTCACTCTAGTGTCTACGGTCAAGTCGCTTTAATCGTCGTCTCTCTCTTCCTTGCCTTGGTTACGGTAGGAATCAGCTGTGTTCATCTAGCCATTGGCAGCAATCTTACATATACGGTGAGCAAGTTTTTTTCATAGAGCGCTGAAGGAAGGGGTGCTAAGTGAGTTGGAGGGGGTGGCGGCCCAGCGGCGGCGCGGTTTCTCAAGCGCGATGGCACTAACGTAAGCCTGAGCCATGGGAGGAGAGTTCAGACTGTGAACAGTGTGGTTTGTGATTTCGCAGAAGCCAACTTTTAGCAGTTTTGAGCTTACTTCCTAAGCTCAGGCTAAGTGCCATCGCGCTCATGAGACCGCGCTGCCGCATAGCCCTCTTCCCTCCCAACTCACTTAGTAGCGAAGCAAGAGCGATGTTAAGCTGGAATTTCATGGAATCTCAGTCCTTCTACAAAAAACTTCGATTGACCTTCTATTTTTTTAACCAAGAGTGGCTTTCAGGACGTGGTGCATTTCCAAAAATGGTTTTTATATGCCATGGGAGCAAGTATATGATGCATGAAAATGTGGTTTGTCTTTTCTGAGCGTTCCTGGAATCCTCAAGAAGAGCAAAAATGTCTTTCTTATGGAGCATATTTTTGAAATTTTAATATTTTGCAATTTTATATTTCGTAGTAGTGTAGAGTGTGGAGCCAGTGCATATCAAAAGTTGCTCGTTCAGAAAGTTTTACACATATGTATGACCCTGAGAGAACGAAAAATTTTTGTCCCCAGCAGGAATCGAACCTAAGCCGTTGTTTCTTCTCCTTTCTTAACATTCTTATGGCGGCCCAGAAAAAGTAAACCTTATTTCTATTTTTCGGCCCCTATAACATGCAACAATTCGTTCTGAGAAATGGGTCCACGTTCTGCAAGACCTTTCTGGTCAGTGGAGAATTTTCTCCTTTAACACTTTATTTTAACGGAGTGAAATTCTTAGTGATGGGAACCAATCAACTGCTCTCGAGTGAATCACTTATGTTCGGTTTCGCAATTTTTTAAAGCTTAATGCCTTTTTGGTCAAAGAGAACAGCCTTACTGTTCTCAATGACCCCATGTCCACTAAATGTGCGCTAATAGCGTTCCAACGCTGTAAAATGTTCACCAGCTAGTCTGTTTCCTGAACTCTTACTTGTCTCCAATCTGCGTCTCATCTTTGGGATTCGCTTGGAATTCGAAATGATCTTCAAGAATTGGTCTGCGGTCGGTTTGTGTTCAACGGCTTGTACGCCTTTCTTTATGTCTGCTTCATGGGGATCCCTACCAGAAACCTGCACAAAGCTGAATGCTAGGTGACCACCAAGCGTAGCAGGAGCTCATAAACGTGCTGAGAGGATTTTGGCCGTCTCTAGTCGTGCTCTTTAATCGCCAGTCGCCTTTTTCTCATATGCAAAGCAATTGTAAATGTTACGAATTGTCATCATAGAGGCTGATCTCAATGATATTCTCGCTAGGCCAAAACTCGGCTGTTCATGCTCAGAGTTGTGCCGCAGCTACCGATGAAAGTGCAAGAGTCGACATCGAAGTACTGTCTAAACATTTTAGCTGAGAAGCTTGGCCCAGCGATCTCTTCCATGAGGGCATAAAACACATGTCTGATACCTTCCGTGTGGGAGTGGCAGTAGAGGACGTCGCTCCCGTCACTCCTTATCACAGTAACGACGCTGTTCAGTCATTGGGTACGGCAAAACTGGGAAGATCGTTGTAGATTGCACTCCCCTCGCGATTGAACAGATGTAAATCGTGGCGTTCATGTCCTTAGGGACTACATTCAAAACAGGGCATTAAAAACCGCTTGATGGTGACACTAGGACTACCCACACGCCCAGGAAATTGGAGAAACGCCAGGGAGAACAAAGGTTGCTCACGTCCTTCCCAGAATCCCTTCCCATCACTAAAGCAACGTCTCGTTCTATATTTGGCCAAGCTTAGTTCAGTGGCCTAAGTAACGAGATGAGCGCCGAAACGCTAAAGGAAGTTCTGAAGCGGGTTTAAGTAATATGTAAGGGCTTCAGGGACAACTTATTGTATGCATATGCAATCACTTGTCTACGAACTACTGTTGTGGTACCACTGACTAATCACTTACTTGGCATAACTTGGTATGCTGGGTCTTCTTTGCTTCTTTTTCTATGCATGTGCTTTTCTTTGCTGTACTTTTGTCTGTATGCAGGAAGTTCAGTGGGTGTGATAGGGGGAATGAAAAGAAAAACAGTTATGTGAATTTGGGACAGGTCTACCCTTTCAGGTATGGTCATCTAAATAGTTGTTGTGATTGTAAGCACGCTACGCATCTATGATACTTACTCAAATGGCGCTTATGAGTATCAATTAGTGACCCCACTTATAAACGCCAAGACAATTTTGTAGTGCATTCCTGTTTTCCCCTCCACAGTTTTCCGGTCAAAAGCTGAGATAAGTGAGAGTGAGAAAAACGTAATCAAAGTGCTTCCTGTGGAGATTGCTCCTGCCGTTGGAAAGTACCATTACCAAGAAGCCTGCTAGGTTTGATTCCACGATTGCATGCTAAGCAAGAGCTGCTGGGATACTATGTAGTTCAATAACTAATGGATGAGGCATAATGCACTGTTCACTGCCACATAATTAGCCGGTCGTGATGCGCGTCTCTAGTAGAATAGAAGATTTTAAGCCCAAAGATACGCTGTTTTTTCCTTTGTTCGTTGTTCGTTGATTTTTGTCATTACCACTGATAATCGGTTGATGTTGTCCGCTCAGAATGCACAGACAAATATATAAAAATAAACAATTAGGTAAATATATAAGTAAATAGTGAGACGAATAAAAACTCCCCAAAGTACTATTAAATAGGTTTGAGCTCAGTGTGTCAAGACGAACTCAATGACATATAATAGATCTCGTTTGATTGGCCTAGCTAGCTTGATGATCTTTCTTCGTGTGACTGAATGAATTTTTGATGCCTCTGAAGTTTGAATTCGGTGGCAAATGGCGAAATTCTGTTCAAGAGGAGAAAAAAATATGAAGATTTCGAGAAAAAGCAGAATTCAGCTTATTTCATGTGGCGGTCGTACCTTTTGTGTTTATTCTCATTCCATGGTATAAACCAGGTCAAGCCATATTCAAGAGGAGGGGCGAAAAGGTCTCCCTTCTACATTTGAACTGGAATCGAATGCACTTTGTCATTTAAAACAAATGGCCTCGACCGAGAGCACATCTTAATCTATCGAACGCTTCATGGAAGCCTTTACCCTGGTGACATCAGAAGATTTTCCTTCGGAAACATGGTCACAGTACGAGCTCAACGAGGTCGTCGACGGATCGTGGACCATTAGACATCACCTGAAAAACTGATCAAAAGCGGTTTTGTAGTTGGAGCTACATACTGCTTCTAGGAAGCTATCCATCACTTAATCAATTGAAGAATTATGTAGCAGGCTGGAGCGATTACGGTAGCCTCGTTGAGCTCGACGGTGATGACAGATGACGTCATATTCTGAAGACGGTGAGGGCAGTGAAGGAGGGCCTGCTTCTGCTTATGGAGGACACCTAAGGAATATTTGCCGTAAAACTTCATAACAGCGGCATCCTGTGCGACGAAAAGTTTGATGATGTGCGCCATGGGCAAAGTGACTTTTTTGGCTTACCATGTACCTATAACATTACCACACATACTTGTGAAGACGGTAACTAGACTTTAGTGTCAATGACTTCTCTTTTATAACCTATATACTGCTTTGGGTGCTGCTTTCCTGCTGAAATTACTCCGGAAATGTCAGCGAAATTGGATCTGGAACTATGTTGATTGAATTTTCTTCCGAGAAACACAGCTAAACAAATAAATAATGGGCAAACATTGTGCTGCTTTTTTGTCTATGATGTCGTAGTCGCTTTCTAATGCAGTTGATTCAGTTGACCGGACTGGTGTATAATTTACCCATCGCAACAATGGTAGCCATTTGTGGTTGACGTTAAGATGCCCAGTCGCATCGTGGAAGCAACTTATTGTAGAACTTTAGGGGAAACGATTTGCTTCTCCTGTCTCACTTCTTCTTGAATGGGTAGAAAGGGACTGTCGGACAAAGTCAGTCGAAGGGGACCGCCATTTTGTCATCGCATGCAACCACGACGGTTCAAAAGAGCGATTTTCGAAAGCGTGCCTGGTCGCTGTTGTGCCTTGTTTACAGGCAGTGAGCACAATGGCCTCTAGGGCGAAGCGGTTTTGATGACATCATTTGACACCATTGGTGGACCAGACCCCTCAGTGCGCTGACCAGGGTTCTTGGAACCATCTCACACCGTCCTTCCACCAATGTCTCTTAATGACGACATCAAAACCATACCCCGCTCAAAGCTGAAGTGTTCATTGAACGTTTCCAATAAGTTGAGAGTGGGCGATTACACACAAATTTATGGTGCAGATTCTAGCTAGCTCATCGGCAATAGAGAGAATAAAAAAAGTCATGAACCCATGAATGAGTTCCCAGATTATCTCAGATGTTATAAGGTAAAAGTAGAAGCAACTGAGTGCTTGATTACCTCTAGCTTATTGAGGGTCATCTGAAGTGGGCAATGCCATTTTTCCGCGTTGTCGTGTCAGAGCGATCATGGAATTTCATTTACTTCTAATATTGCAGTTGTCAGTAAGTCGGTTCCCAAAACGAGATCGAGCGCTGGGTGAGGGCACGTTAATCAACTGGAACCGGGCAGGTCGTGGCCCTAACGCCCCTGTGCCAAAGCGTTGATCCGCGATTTTGACGCAAGGTCGCGAGTTTCACCTAATTCAGCAAGGGTTTTGGTCCGCTTGAATAAATGTGGTACCTGCCTCACTAGAGCTCAGGTTTTCGTAAGACCTTATAAACTCGCGACCGTATGATATCCTTGTTGAAGTACAGATTGAAGGGTGGATACCGTAATCCGCATAAACGCACGAACTTGTCGCCAGTGGCGACAATACCGGTTTTGAACATTTCGCTCGCAGTTCAAGCAGTAGCAGCAGCCACAGCAGCTGTGAAGCAAGTACATAAAGCGCTTACGTGAATGAACAGAATAAGCCCCACATACTGGTTGGTGGAAGCTATTTTCGTATGCGAATTACGTGCATTTTCGGCATTGTGAATGCCGTGAAT